AATTGTGTATTGGTTCTAAGTTATGGAATATACAGAGGTCTCAAGATGGCCATAAGATATGTCAATTTTCGAATTTTGTATTTGAATGCAAATTTTTATTTATCTCACAGCAAAATTTGTTTTAGAAAACAGAGTAAAAACTTGCCTATCTACTAAATTTGTAAATTTTCATACACAAGTATCGAATACATCTTATGTATTAAAATCTCAGATAGGCAAGCTCGTGCTGTTTTCCGAAGTAAAAGTATCTCAACAGATTGAAGTAATTATGGAAAAGATCTTACTTCTGCACCCGTGTGACCTCCATATAAGCTTTGATTTGATCAATACAATTAAATCAAATGCTCAATAATGTTTTCTTACCAATTTTAGACAATTATTTACACTTTGAAATGTCGACAGATGACATCAGGTGTCATAAAGGAATTAGCCCGCCCTGCCGATTGGTCACATCAGCCGTGTCCTCCTTGTCATGATCGGAATATACAAAATTGTGACGGAAAATACCATGCACAATTTAGTGTGCATATAATTGTGTAAAATCTAATATGGAAAAGTCAGACAGCATTGATTTAATGATAGATTGTATTTGCTGACAAGGTCATTGTTTCGACTATAGAAATATAGTTCTTCGCCTTCATTAGGCTTTTAAACTTTAACCTGTTTTTTCCTCCATTACTAGTATTATAAAGTACGTTTATTGTTTAAGATGATATGGCCACAAAAATGAAAATAAGTAAAGTAATGAACAGGTGCATTTCTTTCCGCGGTTAGTTTACATATCAAATGGGTTCAGAAACATTTCATCGTTAAAAAACAAGGACGTGAGAAAAAAATCCATCTGGGTAGAATGCCTCATTAACGTTCATATTCTGTCATTTGTTACTTTGACACGTTTAAATTTCCCATTAATATTAAATCATCTTTATCTTTTCTACAGAATTTCGTCTTGTTTATGAAATCCAATAAGGAAATAAATTTTAGGATGTTAACCAATTTTAATTTTATGATTGTAGACAATGAAAAAATAAGGTCAAAGTCGTCGTGCTATTACGTAGAAAGTATTAACTCATGAAGATAACAGTGTACCCGACTGATAAAAATACATTTTTTTTTTACTGAAAACGCTCCTGAAGGATGTGTGATTTACAGCATAATTTTTCACCTAGTTTACAGATGAATTCTTTCAAAGTCGCTAGAACAATCCTGGAATTGATCCACAAATATTTTTTTTAAAAATCATTTCAAAACGCACAGTAAACTCTACTGTCAGAAATAACAACAAGAAGCCATCGGGCCTTATAGGTCATCTGAGCATCATGTAACAACTTTCTAACAATTGAATTTGGTTCGTGTTTTAAAGCAGAGGTCATGAATTTCACAATTTCGAAAGAGGCACCATTGCATATCATAACTATACACTTACGAGTAGCATGCTTACTCTGGTAACTTAATACTCAAAGGTACATCAGAGTAACAAAGAGAAAATGCATTTACACTTTGTCTTTGTTGTGCACTCATCCACTGGAACCACTGGCCTTGTTTCAAAAGTTTGGAAATTTTATCATAGATGTTATTTCATCATAAATGGTTGATTAATACCAAAGAGTAGGTTCAAAGCATTAATTTATTTTCAGACTATGTAACTAACCAATCCCCATACCCCTGACCCAGGGGCCCTGAAATTAACCATTTTGAAAGAGGTACCTTTCTACATATAAAATATCTACTCAGATAATTGGTATAATACCCAGGAACAAGGAAAATGATTTTCAAGGAATTCATCCATTTTCACTATATAACTATAATAGCCCTGCCCTAACACCAGAACCCCTGAATCAGGGGCTATGAAATTCACAGGTTTGGAAGAGGCATCATTCCTCATCATAACTATATACATATTTTAATGGTTTATTATCAAGAAGCAGAGAAAAAGAAATTTTACAGAATTTATGCATTATCACTATATAATCAATAGAGCCCTACCCTAACACTAGAGACCCTGACCCTGGGGCTATGAAATTCACAATTGCTCATAACAACTATGTATCTTCTTAGTGTGTTAGATACCCAGGAGCAGATAAAAGATTTTCAAAGAATTAATGCATTTTCACTCCCTATATATAATCAATAGAGCCCAACCACTACACCAGAATCTCCGAGCTTGGGGCCATGAAATTCACAATGCTGGTAAAGACCTTCTTGCTCATCATAACTATGTACTTGGTTAGTTTGTTCAATAACCAGGAGCAGAGAAAAAGAATTTCAAAGAAATATTGCATTTTCACTATATAATCTAAATGGCCCCGCCTTACATGTAGCACTAGAATCCCTAACCCTGTGGCTATAAATTCACAATTTTGGAAGTGGCGGCCTTATTCAACATAACTATGTACTTGGTTAGTTTATTTCATAACCAGGAGTAGAGAAGAGTTTTTCATAGAAATAAAACGGTTTCACTATATAATCTAAATAGCCCCGCTGTAGCACTAGAACCCTGACCCTGGGGTCATGAAATTCAGAATTAGGAAGAGGCAGTGTTATTCAACATATTTATGTATTTACATGCCATTTGCAAAAAGTGGCGTTTCCAAATAAGTGAAATATTCTCTCTAAAGAGACTTTAAACAATCATTAAAAAAACAACAACTCAGTGTCGAACATAATTTTTATATCTGTATTAAATGTAAGTAAAAAGTTTTATCTTGTTTATAAAATCTGATTTTTTTGTGAAGTTTCTGAAAAAATATTACTTTCTGTAAAGTTTTGTTTCAATTATAATCAAACTCGGTACACAAATAAACAACTTCTATATGCTAAGAAAATTCTGAAAAATTGTCTTTTGCACGAAGGTGCGTGTTCGTGTGTTCTATGTTTAATACAAATACAAACTTCTAACGTTCTTTTAAACTGCTACTCTTTTCTGCAGTTAGATTAAATAAAATTGAACCTACCACACAAAAAGAGAATGGAAAAAACTAGTTAATTTATAGTCATTTTATCTTTAAAAATTACTTGAACAATCAAATGTTTCCTCGATGGCTATTATAAAGATTGTTCGTGCGTATAATTCGAACATGATACTGCGAATCGAATAAATAGGAGTCATAAACTTAATTTCGGGGGATAACAATACAGTAGTAAATTATGATTTTAACCAAACAAGGAAAATTTAAAGTAGAAAGGAAGATCTCCTATTTTCTATAAAGTATATTGTTTTTTTTTTAAATTGCAACCAAGGTCTTTCCTAGCTAGTTCAATAGCCGCATATGAAACAAATTTCAATCTTTGTAACCTTTTATTTAAAGTTAATTAGGTGTTATCGAAAAAAATTTAAGAATAAAAATGAATAATATTATTTGATAGAATGCCGTTGATATTTCTTAAAGTCTAATTGAAGCAAGATACTTCTTTTTCTGTAGACGTTTTTAATTCTTATGAACATAATTACATTTCAGAAATAGAACCAGCGTATACATCGTACAGACGCTCATTTCTTTTTTTTTTATTCCAGACTTATGCCTTCTATTTATTTTGCTTAGAACATAAATCGTAGAAATAATCTTAATGTTTGATTTTTTTTAATTTACACAATTTTTATGAAAGATCACACTAATAACAAAGGAAAAGTGATTGAATACTATGCATATTTAAATGCAGAATTTGTGATATACATTAAGTTTACAATATATACTTTTAAGATATAGGAAATAAAATTACTGCATACAGGGAAATTTTCGCCCCCGTTTTATTTTCGCCCCTTTCGCCCTTCCCTCATTTGGGCGAATTTAAAACGGGGTGAAATGAAATAATGCAGTATAACTTCTTTAATAAAACTATGACTGGGCGAATTTAAAACGGGACAAAATTGTTTGCAAGGGCGAAAATTAAACGGGGCGAAAATAACCCTGTATACAGTACTTTGCCGCGGTCATTAGATCAAATCCTGTCAGCTAAGAATATTTTACAGTATGAACCTTATGGATAAAATCTACTGTAACAGTATTCAAGCTCAAAAGTCCATTAAACGGTACAAAATTGGAGCAGAACAATCATGGACCTCTTAGAACATAGATAATGGATTATATGCCATGGTGAAGTGAGCATCCCCTGCAGACCAGTCACACCTGTCATGTGCTCCTTCGTATGATCGGGAATTAGTGGGAAAACCTCTCGGCAAAATATAATGAAAACAATGGCCAAACAATTATATCATGAGTATGAAAAATGTAATGACAGATAGTGTTTTCTGACAAGATTATTTTTATCGAATACATTATCAAATAAAACAAACTAAATTTATAATTAAGACCAATAAAATTTTCCACTGTTTGTTGTAAATGTTATTTTCTTCTTCTTAAATATATTACCAAAAAAAGAAATCTTCAACCTGTACCTCTCGAAAGTATTTAAAGAATTTTAAGGATAAATGTGTTTTAATTAATTTTTCAAATTGGTTATTAATGATTTTTCCCCTCTGGCTATTTTTTTAAATCACTAACATATAACAGAAGGAAGAAATCATTGATATACAGTTTTCATTTTCATAGAATAAGGATAAACATGAACATGATGAACTACAAAACTTTAAACATAAACATCCATATAAGTAGCAATCAACAAGTTAGCTATTAATTCAAGTAGGATTTTTCAAATTGATTTTAACACAACAAAATTCAAATCAGGTTTTATTTCAATGTTAGTTACAACTCAAGTAAATATTATGATATAAATTACACCAAATCAGATATTTATAAAAGTTTAGCTTTCAAATTAAATAAATCAATTGATTTTTTTAAAAAAATGATAAACATGATTGATCACAGAAACTGATTTCATTGAAATCTTCATAATCTTGACATTTAGATTGAACAAATGATAACTTTAGATGAATAGGTTAAAGACTACTGAACTTTGGAAAACGCTCGTCTATTATAGATATTATTTTCTTTTATAGTAAAGATGTATTGTAAATTACACTAAAGAACAAAATACGCAGACATGCACATACACAGGTAGCATCATGAATAAGAATTTAACAATATGGTTTCTTCTTTTTCAAAAGTGTGATTGAGTCGTTTGATGAAAAGTTAGTGTAATAGCTGGCACATTTTGTGAGACCTTTGGCATAATTAATAGTTTCATTCCTGTAATATTTAGATATAATTTTTACATTGTAATCGTTATTTTCTTTCTTGCGATTTTCAAAATTTCCACTCTTTGTCGTGTGATGAACCGCTAAAATTGTTTTTGTTGCATCTATAACAATGAATCCTCGCTTCAAAGATTCTGTAACCAGAAAATTGTCATAAGCACGCCTTCCAATGACAACATCAGGCATATCCTTCCAAGGATAATTAGCATTTGTTATGAAATAATCCTCACCCCATGCAGTGAATAATTCTCCTCTTTGTTTTGAAATATTCCTTAACAATTCAAAATCCCCTGCATCCTGCATGGATATATTTTGTACGTTAGTCCTCCGTCCTATAATAAGAATTGAATTATTGTACACACCTATCGTTTTTTCAACAGCTAAAGCGGTTTTTGATAGTCCCTCTGTAAATAGAATATCCCCGTTTGCGTAGGCATAAAAAGTCGATTTTGAAAAGTTCATGGCAGCAAGAAACATGTCCTTCAAAACCGGAATACCAATACCAGTTTTAACCACAGGACGAACATTCCAACCTTTATTTTGGACTCTTCTCATAAGATCTGTATTATTTGTGAAAAGAAGCGGTGTTATGGACGGTTTCAATCTGAACCAGTTAAGAACCGTTGTGTTTCGACAGAGATATTTCTCGATATCTACTGACCATGAGGTGAACAATGTTATCACTGGAAATTTATATTCATTGTTCCTTGGATATCCCTTAGTTGTCAACCCTTGCTTCAATTTATCGAATTTCCCCGAAGTTGTTTCTTGACCCCATTTTAAGTTTTCTAATTTGTTCACAGTTTTCTCATTGTTGAGTTTGATCTTGTTCTCACTTTGAAATACACGACTTGCCTCACCATGAAATGAAGATTCATCCAGAAAACTCGATGTTCTTTGGTCGCTCTTCATTATTAGGACTTGCATGTTCAGAGACTGCTGAACTTCTTCGAGTATAGTTTTGTAACTATAAGAATTCCTGCTGGACAGATCATATAGGTGCACATATATCCCAATGCAAATCAGGGAGAGAAAAGCGACTTTGATATGTTTCCATTCATTCGCCATTACAAATAAGGAAAAAGATCGAATAAATATCAATTTTGTAAGTAACTGACCTCAGTCATGACTTACAAAAACAGCGCCTTCCTACTGGGAAATATTTTAAAATGCATTGCCCTCCGATAGGCGGGGTTAAATTAAACTTGTAATGATATGCTAGCTAAAAAATGGTGACATTGGCCGAAATGCGATGAATTATGCTCTGTTTAATTCATTCTGAAATTTAATCTTCGCCGAAGTGGTAGCTGATATCTCAGAACCGTTTGACATATTACTGGTGTGTCTGTATTTTTAAAATCTTGCCCTTTACTTTAAGTTGTTTGCTTGCTGACTTTCATATTCCAAATTTGTAATTGTATTCCTTTTGACAGGATATTTCTTTGAGCACCGTCATATTTGACCTCTTGATAATGACCTAATTCTTTTTATTAAATATTTATTTACTTAATTGTCCTTGTCCTTAACTTTAAAACAGGTAGTGTTGGACCTTTCATTCTTTATATGCATATGTACTGTGCTAAGACCTTTCAAAGGGTAAAAATATGTTAAATCTCGTTCATCCCTTGTGACTTGGCTTTCCTTTGAATGCTAACACTTTAGACCATTTAATCTTACCTTGAAACTTGTCCTTCTGCAATATTTAACCTAGACTCTTTTGTTCGTCATATCCAAATTTCATTGTAAATTTAAGTATTTAATAAAAAATAAATATTCAATAAAAATATTTCGTATTGTTAAATGGACTTTTTATTTTGAATACCGTTTGTTATCTCCATATGTTTCATGGTAACTATGAAGTATAAGTAAATAACGAACAGCAGGATCCGCCGTTAAAACATACTTAAGTCTGAGATTGCTCTCAAGTCTGAGAATTTTCTCAAATCCAAAATCCTCAGACTCAGTGGCCTTCATAAAAAAGTTGAGAAAATAAAAATTCCTTAAACTCTGTTTTATTCTCAAATTATCAGCTGAGTAATTTTCAAGACTTGAGTTAAGAATTCTCAAAGTTTAATGACGGCGGACCTAGAATTAAAGCTCAAAAGTTCATTAAACAATACAAAATAGGAGCAGAAGAAACATGGACCTCCAAAGCATCAGAAGTGGGATCAAGTGCCATGGAGGAGTGAGCATCCCCTAACTCTATGAAAAATATCAAATTTGAAACAAATTCAAAAGTTTAGCAATCTCTGAATTTCTGTCCTTTTACGAAAATTTTTTTCTTGGGAATTCATTCTATCCTTAATATATAATATGTAATTCTATTTCATTTTATGTAAAAAAAAAAAATCAAATTCCAAATTGTCTTTAAGTTTAATAACTTATGGGCTTTATTTTTCAAAAAATGTGGTACTTATCTGAGTTTAATATTTTAATATTTAAATAATAGTTAAGATCTATAACGTGTTTAATTTTGAAAATGTCAATTTTACGAGGGACATCAATTTTTCAAGCGTACAATTCCATTAAAAAAACAGTAAAATAAATTTAATGTAATCTCTCTTTAATATTTAAGGATGTTATTAAACAAAAGTGGTGCTTTTCTATTTATTTGTAATTAAATTGTTATTCATAAATAGTATTTTATAACGAGATAAAAAAAACTTTGTCTGCTCTTTGTCTGCTTCTTTTTTGCCACAATAACAAGAGTATTGCGGTGAGCTACTTGTTTTTGACCTTAATGTTCAGAATTTCATTATCAGGACTTAAATATTCAGAGGCTATAATGTAGTTCAAGGCGTCTATACAATTCAAAAAGAGCAACCACATAACTCCAAAATATCAGCGTAAGGATCAAGTACCATATATTAGTGAGCATCATCTGCCAAACATTCTCTCATGTTCTCCCCGTCATGATTGAGAAATAACGGAAAAATTCGTCGGTTCAGTGTGTAAATAACTGTCTAACAATAAGTATGAAGAATAACAGTCAGCATTTGACTTAAAAACAAATTGTATTTGCTGATAAGGTCGTTGTACCGACCATAGAATTTAATTGTTGACTTTAAACGAGTCTGCTGATCTTCTCGTTTCATCACTTTGTTTGTCAATAACTTACATCGTTTTAAAATGTTCACAAGTAGATCATGCTCTTACGTAACGCATAAACTGAGATAGATGTGAATTTGATAGGTCACATCCAACTATGCATGTAAAACTTTGCAGGTAAACGCCTCATGGTTAAATATTAGAGGAAAAAAGACATTCCATGTCTCCTGCTTTAGATTCCATTATGATGAAGCTCGTACATTTAATGTTTACTCGTAGAGAAAAATGAAAAAAATATATTCAAAGCACTTCACTGGAGTGAGATGGCACATGTGTTTTATATTTTATATATATATATTTTACTTGAAAAAGACCTTATTGGTAACCTAACAACCAAACACTATGATAAACGTGATGGCTTTCACTTTTCCATCGTCAACTTCCCTTAGTCCTTAATTTCATAAAGAAATACATTAAAATATAATTTTATGCGAAGGTGAATTATGTAACACTTAAAATATGATCTCATTAGAAATAAAACAAATATTGTAATCGGATGCAAATAAAATGGGGAATTTGATAAATGAGTAAAAATTAAAATTCTGCCACTAATCAAAACAGAACAGATTGCAGTTTTGCAAGAAAGAATTGAGTTAATTTTAATTTTTTTGTATGAAATGCATGCAGTTTAATGCATGCATAAAAGGTTCAATATTGATAACCTATTAATAACCTCGTGAGAGTATCTCGAGGACGTTTCAGCGATTTTTTTCATAGATTTTTATCGCAAGTCAATTAGTTTTGCAAAAAAAAAATCGAGTTAATTTTTAATCTTATGATATGAACTGCAGTTCAATGCATGCTTAAAAGGTATAATATTGATAACCTTTTAAAAACCTCGTGATAGCATCACAAAGAAGTTTTATCGATTTTTTCATAGATTTTATCACATGCCAATTTCTTCCTTAAAGTGAGGCATACAAAAAAATATTAAGGTCTATTGATACTCTGTTCTAAATTTCACGGAAAAGAAATAGACTGCCCAGAAGGAGAAACTTAATTTATTCAACTAGCGTGCCTCGTAAAGCGTTCATCCAGGGAGTGAGAATCCCATGCTGGTGGGGTTTATTACGACTTTTGTAATAATATTTAGTACATCAATTCATTGTTAAAAATAAAGTGCTTATCAGACACCCTCTTTCCTATGTTTTACGTTTTGCTCTTTACAAGTATTGTGGAAAATAGTTAATTATTAAATATAACCTATCTCCACAAGCACTTGACGTTACATATTTTTCTTATTACAACATACTACCCTTACCTTTTAAGAATAGGGGTTATATCATATTTTTTTATGCGCCCGGATCGAAAGATCGGAGGCGTATATTGTGTTTGTCCTGTCTGCCTGTCTGTTTATCTGTTTATATAACATTTTTGAATAAGTTTTCTTATTATATCACAAATGTAATAATTTTCGCTATAAACCCTGAAAAATGCTGAGTCACACCGGAAACAGTTATGTCACGCCGAAAACAGTTATATCATCCCCGACTGAAGCAGTTATGTCAACCTTTCGATCACCTTCACGTGTTTTTACGTTACGCATTTTAATTCAGGTTCGAGATTTTATGACGTCGGTTGCTAACCAAAAATAAACAACACAGCGTATTTTTTAACGTCAAGAAGATATTTTTGGATTATTTGTGTAAATTTTATCGATTTTGAATGATTTTAATTTTAAAAATATCATATAACATATACCACATGGCTTCTCGGGTGACTATACCAGAATATTTGCCCCTCGGGGCGACTTCGATTCGTACCCGAGTACGTACTCGAGTTACTTGAGTTTCAATCGAACGACCATAGTTACTACTCAAAATACGTCATATGACCCTATGAACTCTACCCAAGCTAACCCAGCCATACAGTAGGATTACTAGAGTTTCGATATGGCGGCGTCGAAAGAAAAACCCGAACGAAGGAATAATTTTTTTTTTTTACTAAATATTATGTTGAGCATCGCTTATCCTTAAAAGCAAACTTTGAAAAGCACTTTCTACATGAACGCTTTATAATTTATATGAATATATGTTTATTTGATTAGATTTTTCAGGCTTACTGTCCGATAACAGCAGAGACATAAATTCAAATTCGAAACCAAAAAAGTTCAGAGCTGAAAAAGAAAAACATTTCAACTGCAGCAAAAGCTATAGAAAAAATAAACTCAACAGATGATGTCAAAATGGACCTATTTGACCGCCTTTTAAAACTCATAGAGGAAATTTATTTTATTTTCGCTACCCTTCAAACTCATATGAGTTCGCTTGAAAACCACATGTTTGTGTAAACATCCGGTCATGTGACGTGAACCAAGAGTTGATACTCGGGTGTGAATCGAAGTCACCCTCGGTGACACGAAAGCCCTGGAGTGTTATGTCACCCTCTGCCTTCGGCATCGGGTTAAATAACACTCCAGGGCTTTCCAGTCACCTCGGGGCAAATATTCTGGTATGTCACCCTCGAAGCCATGTGGTATATGTTGTATGACATTGTGATATATGTATAATGTCTGTTTGTCTGCAAACTTTAACCTTCGTCATAACTTTTGAACCAAGAGAGATAGACACTTCATATTTGGTATGCATTCTCCACTATTTAAGTTCTTTAAAATGTCACCAAGTTCAATGACCTTGTGACCTTGCCTGTGACCTATATGCTAAATATAGTTTTTTAGCAAACTATAAGGAAGGATATGGAGATAACGAACAGTATTCAATCTTTAAGTCCATTAAACAATATACAAAATAAGAGCGGAGCAAACACGGACCTCCGAAACATCAGAGGTGAGATCAGGTCCCATGGAGGAGTGAGCATCCCCTGCCGACCGGTCACACCCGCCGTGTGCTCGTTGTCATGATCAGGAAATAACGGAAAAAATCCGTCCTCAATTCAGTGTATAAATAATGGACTAACAATTGATATGAAAAACGTCAGTCAGCATTTGACTCAATGATAAATTGTATTTGCTGACAAGGTCACTGTATCGACCATAGAACTTACGAAATGATGACTTTAAACGAGACTGTTGATATTCTTGTTTCATCAACTTGCTTGTCAATAATTTACCTCGTTTAAGAAACTGTTCATACGTAGAGCATGCTCTTGCGTATCGAATCAACTGAGATATATATACTCCGTATGCAGGTGATGAAGATATATTGCTGCATAAGTAAGGGAAGTTGACGATAGAAAAGTTAAAGTCATCACGTTTATCATATAGCTTTGTTGTTAGATTACCATTAGTGTCTTTTTCGAGTAAAATATCCAAGTATGAAGCATGTCGGACTCTGTGGTATCTTTTATCTCAAGCTCACCAGGATATATCGTATCGACGTAGGAATGAAAATTATCATTATTAATTGACAATACGTCGTCGATATATCTAAATGTCGAGTTGAAGGCCACAGCAAGTGTTTCCTTCTTTTCACGCATAAGATTTTGCATAAATTCTGCTTCATATGAATATAAAAATAAGTCTGCTAATAACGGAGCGCAATTTGTAACCATGGGAATTCCAATAGATTGTTGGAATATTTGGTCTCCAAAAACCACATAGGTATTGTCAATCAGAAACTCAAGCATCTTCGTGATGTCGACTTCAGAGTACTTATGTGTGCAATCATAATCTGTTTTAACAAAATAATTTCGCAAATGACCATTGACGAGGTAAGTAAATTTACGAGTTCCATTTTTATTGAAGAAGCAGCTGTCAATGATATCAAAAAAGCCTGGATTTTAATTTGTCATGGGGAATTGTTGTGTATAATGTTGAAAAGTCGTAAGTTTTTAAGCTGTTGATTTTTGTAAAGTCTTGTGATTTCAAATTGTCCAAAAGTTCTTTAGAATTTTTAAGTATCCACATCTGATTTACACCACTTCTTGAATATATAGTTGCACAGTACTCTTGAAGTTTTTCCTTCACTACTGTCAATATCTTCTTGAGGAGTAACGAAAGAGGCTTGGTTGAACATTTACTGGAACCTGCAATGTATCTTTGTTTGTAAGGATTCTTATGAAGTTTCGGACTCCAATATAAAAAAGGTAGCTCAAATTAATTTTGGCTCTGTGGAATATTAAAAGTATTCAAAACTAATTTTGAAGAATTTCCTCCTTAGAAAGGGAAGTAGGAGTATAAGTAGGATTACCACTTGTAGAATTAAATCCAAGTTCTTCTAGAATACAATTTATATACTAAGTAATGAGCCTTACAAACGAAGACAACGTTGTTACCTGCTTTGTCGGCAGGAACCAGCACGTACTGATTATGTAATCTATCTTATTCTTTTTTCACTTCTGGTTTATTGAACACAGAAGGATAGATGGTTTTCATTTTGCCACTCAATCTTATAATACGCGATTTTATCATGGATCTGATACATTTAATCAATTCTGACAAAGTGTCTACGTCTTCTTTATCATATCTGACCCATCGCCTTGCGTAATCTTCAACAGATTCCATAATATCTATGAAATTCCGACGCTAGTTGATGTATCGGGGTTCCCTATATTTAGGACCTTTTAAAATAAAGTGATCTAAGATCCTTATTATTAACTTCTTTACGTCACCTGTAATAACGTGTCCAGCAGGACTATAGTTATAGGGCGAAGAAGAATATGAACACGAAGGGGGATTATTTTTCAGATAGTCGATATCCAAGCCATGTAAAGTGTTTTTGTAATTGAAAAGTTTGGAAGCAATGGTCGATGTATATTTGTAGGAAATACAAGGTGTAGTATCCTTCTCCATTACTTTTGAACCTTAAAAGATAGATACTTCATATTTGGTGTGCAAACACCACCAATGACATACTTTCATATGACACCAAGGTAAATGACCTTGTGACCTTGAATGTGCCCTTTATGCTAAAAATAGGTCTTTTTAAACCGTCATTATAACTTTTGAATCATGAGAGATAGATACTTCATATTTGGTATGCATTCTCCACTAATAAAGTACTTTCAAATGACACAAAGTTTAATGATCTTGTGACATTGACTATGAACTATATGCTAAAAACTTTGTTGCCGCCAGGCGCATAGTGTTTCTCAAACATATCGTGTTTGATGATGTCAAGTGCTTGTGACAATCTCTTCCTGTTGTGTTGGTGAACAGGAGGAGCTGCTTTTCATCAGCCCCTTCTCCTTTCACTCACCAGGAAAGGAGAAGGCGTGGGTTGATTTTAATCAGACTGATTTTATATCGTCCTGAAATGACTAAAAGGGGTTATTTTATAGAAAATATTTTATTAACACAAAGAATACAGAGGTGTAACTGTTAGAATGCATTTGAAATACAAAATAATATTAAGGGAAAAATCACAACCAAGGATTTTATTGTGTGCACGGACTTCTTCAAATAGTGTTTTTGATTTATAACTAACAATTTCAGTCAACTGAATCAAGAAATAAAGAATTTAATCAATAACTTTACTCGTTTATGTCGTACTTGTAGACAGTATATTGCACGTTCTAAACCTGTGGCTCTACGGTGAGTTTGACGTCATGATGTTTTCTCACTTTTCTTGAGCCTAGAAAATATATTATAATCTATAACCATGTTTTCGCATCGCAATTGTAATGTCTGTTTATAATGATGATAACGGGCCCTGGTGTTGAATAGGCTTTTGAGACGTTGTGCTGATTACCAAGTGTACATTTAAATTATTTTTTTTTTTAAGTTTCTCTCAATATATGTACTTCGAAATGGAAAAAAAAATATGTACAACCGAGTAACTGAGTACCAGATTTAGTATTCGATACTCGGGCCTTCGATCGAGTATCGAATACTAGCTGGGTACTCGTTGACATCCATAATATATATATAGTTATTGTACATTTAATGAAAATTTGTAACTACTAACTTAAAGACATAACAACGAAGCTTTAAATTAATTTACAATGCAGAAAAATTAAATCATAATTGGAAAGGGATCAATGAATACCAATAGATTTTTTGCCAAAATACAGTTTATCTCACGAAAGCATTATCGCAGAATATCGATAGGTCTTCTGATTCTACCAGCGGTTGTATTTTTCTTTGATCATCATTGTTTTCTTTTTTTCATACTTTTTATAACATTTTTACTTCATTAACATTTAACTAGTACTTCATTCACAGTTTTGCAAATTAATGAACAACTAAAGAAGGAAACATTGTCTGATAATTTTTTAATCAAATAAAGACAAATAAATTCTGTAAGTATCAAGTTCTTTTCTTTGTTTCAGCAGATATACGTAATTCATCATTAAGGTACTCCAATCCTCAGCTAGGAAGGATAACTTTTTAATTTATAATTTAATTTAAAAGGTCTCAAAATGAAGCTTGAAAATTCATTTTTTCATGCCATAATTTTTATTTTATACCTCTCAATGTGCATCAATGTTTGTTAAAAGTCGAAATTTTTACACCATAAATGTATTTTGAAATTACCTTTGTAAAGAAATAGAGGTTAATTTTCATCTTACCATAGCAAATAAAAATTTATTAACATAATATGAAATTAGAAGTAATTTATGGTGTTTTGCATTGATAGGAAAATCTGTATACACTTAGCATTGTAAAATGATCGATTTGAAGAGAAATTAATGTACCTTATATGCATAAAAATCGTGTAGTTTCTTCAAAAGCCTTGATACCTATAATTTTTATTTCTGGTTGTTGATTAGATTTGAAGTGGAAAATGCATAGTAGGTTTTTTTTTTAATTCGCATTTCCTGAAAATCTATTTTAAATTTAACAACTTTCCCTATATGATATGATTTACTTTAAAGATAAAGTTTTAAGAATTATCGTGAGTAAAAACGCGTTACTCTGGGAGTTCAATGATAAATATAAATTTCAAAACCATTGGCAGCAACAGAACTAGTGCAGGATGCAAAATTGATAACTGGAAATATTTTCGGAAGTTTAAAGTATTCATCGTATTTCGATTATTTCGAAAGGAAGTTCCATATCTTCTAAGCAGAGTATAAATAGTTCAAAGCTCTCAATGTTGAACCAAGTGGTCTACCTATCTATACTGTCTACCCACCCTTGCCTCAGATTAAATTTGTGACTTCACATTAGCCTACACATCAGCAGAAAGGAACATATGCCACTGAAAGCAGTCATGCACAGAACTTACTAAGTTATTAATCAAATGTATGTTGCCGAAAGAGAATTCAGTTTTATATATGAGCTGTAGCTGCACATTGTAAATATATATTTTAACGAAAATGTACATCATGAGTAACATGACCACAGAAAGAAAACTGTCGATACTGATTATGAGATATAGAATTTTATCAATTCTAGGTAGATAAATGCAAAACAGCTTGCCTTGGGAAAAAAGCATAAAGTGTAATAACTGTTTTATATGCCTTTTTGTCATATCTGTTTGCTTTGAAAGCAGTAACATATGAAAAAAAAACATATATATCAAGATCTTCATATAAATCCTCAATGTTAACAATAGGGTTTCTTCTTTTTCAAAAGTGTTATTGTGCTGTTCGATGAAAAATTTGTATAATAATTGGCACATTTTGTGAGACCTTGAACATATTTAATGGTCTCATTCCTGTAATATTCAGAAATAATTTTAACATTGTAATCGTTATTTTCTTTCTTGCGATTTTCGAAATTTCCACTCTTTGTCGTGTAATGAACCGCTAAAATTGTTTTTGTAGCATCGATAACAATGAATCCTCGCTTCAAAGACTCTATAACCAGAAAATTATCATAAGCACGCCTTCCAATGACAACATCAGGTATTTCCTTCCACGGATAATTAGCACTTGTTATAAAATAATCCTCACCCCATGCAGTAAATAATTCTCCTCTTTGTTTTGAAATATTCCTTAACAAATCAAAATTCTCTGCATCCTGCATGGATATATTTTGTACGTTAGTTCTCTTTCCTATTATAAGTATTGTATCATTGTGTATATCTATCATTTTTTCAACAGCTAAAACAGTTTTTAATAGTTCTTCTGTAAATAGAATATCCCCGTTTGCGTAGGCATAAAAAGTCGATTTTGTAAAGTTCTTGGCTGCAAGAAACATGTCCTTCAAAACCGGAATACCTATACCAGTTTTAACCACAGGATGAACATTCCAACCTTTATTTCGGACTCTTGTCATAAGATCTGTATCATTTGTGAAAAAAATTGGGGAGATAAACGGCTTCAATCTGGACCAGTTAAGAACCGTTGTGTTCCGACAGAGATATTTTTCGATATCTACTGACCATGAGGTGAACAATGTTACCACTGGAACTTTATATTTATTGTTCCTTAGATACTCCTTAGTGATCACCTCCTGCTTCAATTCATCGATTTTCCTCGAAGTTCTCTCTTGACCACGTTTTAAGTTTACTGATTTGTTTACAGTTTTCTCTTTGTTAAGTTTGTCCTTTGTCTCGCTTTGTGATACACGATTTGCCTCACCATGAAATATAAAACTCGATGTCCGTTGGTCGCTCTTCATTATTAGGACTTGCGTATTCAGAGACTGCTGAACTTCCTCCATTATGGTTTTGGAAATGTAAAAATTCCTACTCGTTACATCATATAAATACACATAAATCCCAATGCAAAACAGGAATAGAAACGCGATTTTGATATGTTTCCATTCATTCGCCATTACAAATAAGGAAAAAGATCGAATAAATATCAAATTTGTAGGTTACTGATCTCAGTCAAGACTTTAAATAGACAGTGCCTTCCTACTGGGAAGTATCTTTAAAACTTTATGTAAAAAATGCATTGCCCCCCGACAGGGGGGGGGGGGTTAAATTATGCTTACTAAAAAATGGCGACATTGGCCGGAATGTGATGAATTATGCTCTGTTTAATTCATTCTGAAATTTAATCTTCGCTGAGGTGGTAGCTGAATATCAGATCCTTTTAACATTTACTGAGTTACTGTAACATTTAACTTACACAATGATGTTAAGAGGGCGCTGCACACAATATCTTGATTTTTCTTTGGTGTTGTTCAGCAGCACTTTTTTGGTACATTTAATAAATGAGTAATTTAAGGGAACTCTATAGCAAATAAATCGAGAAGTAGTGTAAAACAGTACTGTAGTGGATACAAAATACCTCGATCCGATATTAGAAAATTTGAAATCAGGATTTCTTTTCGAAAATCAATTATATCAAAACGTTTGATTTTTAAACACATAACACAACCATTCCCAACAATAAATTGATGTCCAAGCCTTTTGACAGAAATACAAAACTTTTTTTTATGGAACTCATTAAGATACTTGCAGTGTATCTTGTCTTTTTGTCCGTTTGGAAAAAATATTTCATTGAAACACATGGTACAAATTTGACAATTAGTCCTAAATATAGAAAAGATGAATTTTTTAGTGCAAATATCTAATCTGGGAGATCATGTCGTCCAAAAATGTTTATGATGCAATTTTCCAAGATTCATGGTATAACATTCAGCCCTGTCTACCTGTCTGTCTGTCTGTCTGTCAATTAAAACCCTTTCCTGAGATTTTCTGATTACATTTTTCTGTCCAATCCTCTCTGCACTACCGGTGTGTCTGTATCTTTTATACATTGCCCTTACTTTTACTTTGTTTCTCGATGGCTTTCATATTCAAAATCTTTATTTGTATTCCTTTTGACAGGATATTTCTTTGAGCACCGTCTTATTTGATCCCTTGATAATGGATTTTGACCGATTTTTTTTATTTAATTAAAAATTCATTTACCCAATAGTCCTTGCCCTTAATTTTAAAATAGGCAGTGTTGGACGTTTTATTCTTTACATGCATATGTATTGTGCTAACACCTTTCAAAGGATAAAAATATGTTAAATATCGTTCATCCCTTGTGACATGGCTTTTCTTCGAATACCAACTCTATAAACCACTAAATCTTTACCTTGAAATTTTCTTTTTTAACCTAGACTCTTTTTATAAGTTGACTTCGAGCATGAATACTGTTCGTAATGTCCAAATTTTATTGAAAATTTAGGTATTCAATAAAAAACATTTTGTATTGTTGAATGGACTACTTATTTTGAATACCCTTCGTTATCTCCATATGTTCATGGAAACTATGTATGAAGTATATGGAAATAACGAACTGAATTCAAGCTCAAAAGTTCATAGAACAAAACAAAATTGGACAAGAAAAAACAAGGACCTCCAAGGCATTAGGTGTTGGATCAGGAACAATGGAGGAGTAAGCATTCCCTAACCCTATTTAAAATATCAAATTTGAAACAAATTCAAAAGTTTTTTTAAATTTCTGTCCTTGTACAAAAAGTTTTTTCTTGGGAATTCATTCTATCCTACATATAATTGTATTTCATTTTATGCAATTTTTTTTTTACAATTTCCAAATTATCTTTAAGTTTAATAATTTATTCCTTTATTTTTCCAAAATGCGGTACTTATTTGAGTTTAAAAATTCTAATATTTCAATGATAGTTAAGATCTATAACGTGTTTAATTTTGAAAAAAAGGCAATTTTACGAGGGACATCACTTTTTCAAGCGTGCCATCCCTAAAAACAGTAAAATAAATTCAATGTACTCTCTCTTTAATATTTAAGTATGAAATTAAACAAAACTGGTGTATTTTTATTAATTTGTAATCTTATTATCTATAAATAGTACTATATTATGAGATGAAAAGTAACGATGTCTGCTTCTTTCTTGTCACATTGACAAGAATATTGCAGAGAGCTACTTGTTTTTGCCCTTACTGTTCGGAATTTCATTATCAGGACTTGAATATTCAGAGACTATAATGTAGTTCAACGCGTATATACAATTCACAAAGAGCAACCACATAACTCCAAATTATCAGCACAGGGATCAAGAACTATATAGTAGTGAGCATCATCTGCCAAACATTCTGTCATGTTCTCCCTGTCATGATTGAGAAATAACGAAAAATTCGTCGGTTCAGTGTGTAAATAACTGTCTAACAATAAGTATGAAAAATATTAGTCAGCATTTGACTTGAAAACAAATTGTATTTGCTGATAAGGTCGTTGTACCGACCATAGAATTTAAATGTTGACTTTAAACGAGTCTGCTGATCTTCTCGTTTCATTATTTTATTTGTCAATAACTTACATCGTTTCAAATGTTCAAACGTAGATCATGCCCTTACGTAACGCATAAACTGAGATCGGTGTGAATTTGATAGGTCAAATCCAACTATGCATGTAAAACTTTGCAGGTAAACACTTCGTTGTTATATCTTGGAGGAAAAAGACATTACGAAAGTAGTAATAACCCCCAGCAGCATAGGATTCTCACTCCCTGGATGAACGCTTTACTAGGCACGCTAGTTGAATAAACTAAGTTTGTCGTTCTGTGCAGTCTATTTCTTTTCCGTGAAATTAAGAATAGAGTATCAATAGACCTTAATATTTTTTTTTTGTATGCCTCACTTTAGGGAGGAAGATGGCCTGTGATACAATCTATGAAAAAACCGCTAAAACGTCTTCGTGATGCTATCACGGGTAATAGGTTATCAATATTGAGCCTTTATGCATGCAGTGAACTGAAGTTCATATCATAAGATGTAAAATTAACTAAATCTTTTCTTGCAAAACTAATTGACTTGCGATAAAAATCTATGAAAAAGAATTACTAAAACGTACTCGAGATGCTCTCACGAGGTTATTACACATGTAAAAGGTTATCAATATTGAACCATTTATGCATGCATTAAACTGCATTTCATACAAAAAAAAAATTAAAATGAACTCATTTTTTTTTTTGCAAAAGTGCTATCTGTTCTGTTTTGCTTAGTGACAGAATTTTAATTTTTACTGATTTATCAAATTCCCAATTTCATTTGCATCTGATTACAATATTTGTTTTATTTTTAATGAGATCATATTTTAAGTGTTACATAATTCACCTTCGCGTAAAATTATATTTTAATGTATTTCTTTATGAAATTAAGAACTAAGGGAAGTTTACGATTGAAAAGTGAAAACCATCACGTTTTTCATAGAGTTTGGTTGTTAGGTTACCAATAAGATCTTTTTTTCAAGTAAAATATACAAATATGAAACAGATATTTTTTTTATTTTTCTCTACGAATAAACATTAAATATAAGAGATTAATCATAATGGAATCTAAAACATGAGGCATGGAATAATATTTATTACATCTATTTATTGTTTAAATAAATGCTTGTTAGACACCCCCTTTCCTTTGTTTTAGGTGTTTGCTCTTTACAAGAGTTGGGGAAAATAATTAATTATTAAATATAATCTCAACACGCACTTGACGTTACATATTTTTCTTATTTCAACATACTACCCTTACCTTTTTAGAGTAAGGGTTATATTATATTTTTTTATGCGGCCGGATCGAAAGATTCGAGGTGTATTTTGTTTTTGTCCTGTCTGTTTGTCTGTTTATCTGTTTATGTCTGTTTGTCCTTTAACCTTTGTCAAAAGTTTTGAACCATGAGAGATAGAGAGTTCATATTTGGAATGCATACTCCACTACTTAAGTTCTTTCAAATGTCACCCAGGTTAATGACCCTGTGACCTTGAATGTGCCTTTTATGCTAAAAACAGTCTATTAAAACCTTGATCTTAACTTTTGAACCATGAGAGATAGAGACTTCATATTTCTATGCATTCTCCACTAATAAAGTACTTTCAAATGACACCAAGTTCAATGATCTTGTGACATTGCCTATCATCAATATGCTAAAAGTAGCTTTTATCAAACTTTGTTGCCACCGGACGCATAGTGTTTCACAAACACATCTTGTTTGATAATGTCAAGTGCTTGTGACAATCTCTTCCTGTTGTGTTAGTGGAGAGGAGGTGCTGCTTTTTATCAGTCTGATTAGAAACCAGCCCCTTCTCCTTTCACTTGCCAGGAAGGGAGAAGACGTGGATTGATTTTAACCAGAGTGTTTTTTATCGTCCTGAAATGACTAGAGGGGATTATTTTATAGAAAATATTTTATTAAAACAAAGAATACAGAGGTGTAAATGTAATAATGCTTTTGAAATTCAAAGTTATATTAAGGTAAAAAATTCACAACCAAGGATTTTTCTTGTGTGCACGGGCTTCTTCATATAGTGTTAAAAAAATTCTTTAAAAATCCCTAATATATCTATATATATAGTTATTGTATATTTAATGAAAATTTGTAACTACTAATGTAAAGACATAGCAACGAAGCTTTGAATTAATTTACAATGCAGAAATTTTAAATCATAATTGAAAAGGGATCAATAAATACCAATAAATTTTTCGCCAAAATACTGTAACGGTCTATCTCACGAAAGCATTATCGCAGAATATCGATAGGTCTTCTGATTCTACCAGCGGTTTTATTTTTCATTGATCATCATTGTTTTCTTTTTTTCATACTTTTTGTAACATTTTTACTTCATTTAACATTTAACTAGTACTTCATTCAGTGTTTTGCAAATTAATGAACTCCTAAGAAAGCAAACATTGTCAGATAGGTTTTTAATCAAATGAAGACAAATACATTCTGTAACTATCAAGTTCTTTTTTCTGCTTCTTTAGATTTACATGATTCATCATTAAGAAACTCCAATCCTCAGCTAGGAAGGAATACTCTTTAATTTATAATTTAATTGAT